AATCCCATATGCACTAAAATCTTTCATATAACAAAAGCAATATAAAATTCAAAACTCTAAAAAACCTTTTTCAAAATAAAAAGTAGGGAGCAAAAAAAAGTTGATTCTCATGCTCTATTTATTGCTTCCATATCTCATTCAAGAAAAATCAAAATATATTAAAAATAACTGATCTACAATGAGAGAGAACATGTCCCATATAATTTTACCCACATCCATGCCTTCCCACCCAGGGAGACCATTCCACTATGACCTGAAGTAGCCCCAGAAAATTAATATCTAGACCTCAGAAAACCTAAGACATACTAAGTCCAAGTCTAAGTCCCCAGGAAGTTAAATCATATAGCATAACTCCCAAACATCACCTTTTAGCTTACAATTAATTATACCAAAGAATGAAAGTGAAAAAGACATATTCTAAAAGATTTTCTACAGATTAATACAAAATAAAATTGCAAATCAGGCTCCGCTGTTAATCTTGTTCATCTTATTAGACTATTAAATAACTGCAGAATGCTAGAATCTGAAGGGACTTTAAAGAACATACTATACCCAATGCTTTCATTTTATAATAAGGAAAACTGAGACCCAGACAAGAATGGCTTGACATGAAGGTAATTAATGGGTTAGCTATAACTCAGAACTTCTGCATTATAGTACTGTCCTCCTCCTGTTACATCATGCCAACAATCTCTCCATTTTAACAGTGGAGAATACAGACAAACGACAAATAGATGTCCACAATGTCTGATTAATGCAAGTGTCATTTCAGTAGCCTCCTCCAGAAATTCCCCCATTATGAAATTCTAAGTAGGAAAATTAATTTACTTACCTAGCCTGTACACAATCTACAGTTCCTTTGTAACTATCAATGTAGGTATTACATAAAATTCCATCTCCAACAGCTCTAGCAATAAACTGGCCCACCAACTGTAATAAGAAAAAACAGACCTATATAAAAAAAACCTAAAATAAACTTTTATAGGACACAATTTCTAAATACATAAATTATGAAGACTGGTTGAACTATATAGTCAATACCTATAAAATGTTGGAATATCCAAAAAACACCAATTAGTATAGCTGTTAGTTATGCCTGGCATACACTCCCACCTCTTAACCTTCAAGTTAAGTGCCTTCGGAGCGCGGCCCACATCTGTTTTACTCACCATTGAATCCTCAACACCTTGCACACTGCCTGATACATAGTACATGATCAAAAGTATTTGTTAAATGAATGACTTAAGGTCAGGTGAAGTCCCTTTTATTAAAAAAAGACCACAGACTAGGTTTTGTAAAAAAACTGTCCATGGAAGGACAGTTAAATAAATTTATCTTATGGAGAAAAACATTGTGTAGAAATAGTTATTTGGAAGTATGTTCACAGCACTAACCACTTTAGTGCCCAACAATAAGATCTGTTTAAGAGGTACATACATAAGATGATGCACTTTGTGGCCACAGGGGAAGATATTAACTTTGATAATTCAATAGTAACAATTTCATGTTTTCAAAGCTACACAGAGAAAGTCTTATTTATGACTATTTTTATAATAAACATTAGTCAAGCAAATTCAATCAATTATAACCACCTATATTTTTGAAAATCCTAGCTAATAAATCAGCTTAACTATATATAATAGTGAACATATATATGGTAAAAATATATATATATAAAATCTAAAAACTATACAAAGCATGGGGGAAAAGTAGGCTATACAACCAAATTTATAATATGATGAAGACTATGTTTAAAAAACAAAAAAACAAGAACAGCTAGGAAAAAATACAACAAAATGTTGGCTATTTTTGTCTAGTGGGAAATGTGGGCCATTTCCCTTTCATCCACTAAAATTTCCTAGAAGCATGTATTATTTCTATAATTGGGAGGGTAACTGGGAGGAATGTAGGATGGGAGAGGGGGAAATGAACAAAAAGACTACTCATACAAACCTGTGGCGCTCTAGGAGTATCCAATGCTAATTCAGGTAGATCTTTCAACAATTTATCAAACGATTTTTCCACATCATTTGTGCTCATTACTGTCCCACAAAGGTCAGAAAGAAGCTTAGATGTCATTTCTCTATGACTAGCCTTCCCCTCCAATGCTAAGGAAACTGCCAACACCGGTACTCCACTTTTCATTTCACCAAGATTTAAATCTCTCAGCATTTCCTATTCAAAAAAATAAAATGATTTAAAAAAACTTTTTAAGTATGTGACAACTTGTAGTTTAATAAAATTTTATTTTTGAAAAACCAAACTTCTATCTATATCTATCTTTACCTCTCCCTCTTTGGAAATAATCAGAGAGATGCAGTCATATTTTGGGATATAGGATAAATACACCTTTTTCTGCGTATAAATTAGATATTGATCCACTTTGTCAAGCTTTAACTACATGAACATCACTAAATTCAAGAATGTGAATTACATTTAAAACAGTCATACATCACTTAATGACATGGATATACTCTGAAAAACTTGTCGTTTAGGCAATTCCATCATCGTGTGAATATCAGAGCGTACTTACGCAAATCTACATGGTATAGCCTACTGCACACCTAGGCTATATGGTATATCCTACTGCTCCTAGGCTACAAACCTGTACAGCATGTTATTGTACTGAATACTGTAGGCAACTCTAACACAATGATTAAGTATCTGTGTACCTAAATATATCTAGACATAGAAAACGTACAGTAAAATACGGTATTATTATCTCATGGGACCACAGTCGTATCTGCAGTCCATCCTTGACCATAACATTGTTATGTAGCTCATGACTATAGTTCATTAAGCTACATGATATTACTAACCCAGAGTTAGTTAGCAGCTAATTCTGCCTTACTATTATTTCTAGAAATATTGTTTTATGAGCATTTGTAGAGAAATTCATTTTACATTATCTTAAGCTGTTTATACTCTTATTCAAAGCTTTCCCCTGAAATAAAAATTTACTTTATACTTTCATGTAAAATTTAAAATGGGACCTTCAACCACTGTTTTTAAATGGGATTATTGGTTTTAAATGCTGGAATAAAGTTAAATTTTTCTATTAAAAATATAATAGCAACAGTTAATACTTATTGACCAGTTATAATATATCAGGCATTATATAATAGCCACTTTACTAGTATTATTTTATACTTAAAATAACCCTTTGAGTATTAAATTATCATACTTATCATGCCCAAAGCACAGAAAAATTAAGTAATGGCTGAAGGCATACAGCTGGAGTGGCCAAGCTGAAAGTGGAGTACAGGCAATCTGACCCTAGAGGCTAAACTGTAACTCACTTACTCAGAGTGCCTTCCTCTTTAATGAAAGTTTTCTTAGACTCTTTAAATCATGGTATACTACCAAGAAGGTGCCACAACTATCTTCACAGCCACCTAACTTGTCCTTGTTAGTATTCTCTTCCAATTCCATTTCATCTTCCTCGACCACACTTTAACTCATTGCCTTCAGACATGGTATTCCTCTTTCCTGGAAAACCCTCTTCAATGATTTTAACTAGCAAACGCCTAACCATCCTTCAGATGGCTCCAAATCACCTTGGCTATTGCTCTCCATTTTACGCTTCCATAACACTCTGCTCATGCCACTACTCGGTTAATAGACGCACAATATACAATTGGTCTTATGCTAAGTAGATACCCAGATTTCAACAGTCTCTGCCAGGATTTAAACTTTTCCTCCATAACAGAGTGTTTCACATAGTTTAATAATCTGTTTATATATCATTTCCTTCACTTGACTGAGCTTCAAAAGGGCAGGAATCACCTATCACAAATTCCTCCACATGGTATGCACTGTACAAATATTTGTTTTATATTCAAATCTTACAAATCCAAAGATAAACCTCACAGTATCAGTCAAATCAAGACTGTCCAGTCTGAATTTTGAAAATCTAAAGGTTTTCTAAAGAGTTACAATTGTTTTACTTTAACCCAGTAATCATAACTAGACCAATAATTTTATTTCACCCTTTTAGATTTACTTTATGAACAATTCATAATTAACACAGTAAATCTTTGCATACAAATCTGCTTCAAAAACAATTCTCTTGGTTTCTGTATACATTCTTTTTCAAATCTTTATATCGGTGGGGTTTTTTTGGCACAAAGATTAATTTTATCCTAATCCTGAACATTGGAATGACCATCAAAAACATGAAACTAAGTCAGATATTATTAACTGAGGTCCTTGAAGAGGTTTCAGAGGGTCCATAAATACCCTGGAATTGCTAAAATTATATTTTATGCATTACAAAAGTAGATGTTATAAATTCATATAATTATAAAAGTTGATTTATAAAAATATTGTCGTGCCGTTTTTCATGGAAGGAAATCACACACAGCTCTCGTCAGATCCCAAATATATAAGAACTGGTTTAATGTAATGAGATTTTATTCCATTTCTTACTTAGAAATTTGTTTATGCAAAAGAAAATGTGTAAACTTATTCAGTGATCCAAGATCACTCTAGTTATATTTTGCTTAAAGAGTCTTTTCCCGGCGGGGTGCGGTGGCTCACGCCTGTAATCCTAGCACTCTGGGAAGCCCAGGCAGGCAGATCGTTTGAGCTCAGGAGTTCGAGACCAGCCTGAGCAAGAGTGAGACTCTGTGTCTACTAAAAAAAAATAGAAAGAAATTAGCTGGACAACTAAAAATAAATAGAAAAAAATTAGCCGGGCTTGGTGGCGCATGCCTATAGGCCCAGCTACTCGGGAGGCTGAGGCAGGAGGATCGCTTGAGCCCAGGAGTTTGAGGTTTTTGTGAGCTAGGCTGACGCCATGGCACTCTAGTCCAGGCAACACAGTGAGACTCTGTATCAAAAACAAACAAACAAAAAACAGTCTTTTCTCTCCTATATAAAATAATTTATAGTTTAAACTTACCGCAACTTCATTAGTATCTCCATGCTCAAAATATTCCTGTATGATTGGTGTTAAAGTCTTCTCAAATGCTCTTTCATCCAAAGGCAAAACTACAGTTTCATAAACACAGTTTTCCTGAGGGGAAAAAGGACAAAGAGTTACAAAGAACAAAATTCAGGTAAACAGAAATCATTGTATAATTTTATATTTGACTGGTTAATAATCCTCATTTAGAGCAAGATAAAGACATGCTACATGCTTTAACCACACATAAAAATAGAATACATGTCACTGCTCTTTTACAAAATCTGAATACAATAAGCCAATATACAGAGTAGAACCACTAACCACAGCAAAATATGACTTGCTCCCAACCCTCATATATTCTGTTAATTTTTTATATCTCTCTCAAAACCAGTCTTCACTGACCAAAAAGCTTTATGATGGCTTCCTATCATATATGGTATTTTCATTAAAACTTCATTTTTCTGCAGGAACCAAAGCCTTCATAATTATAATAAAAGTATAACAAAGAGCAATGTTGTAGTGACTGAAAAATCTCTAAGGAAAAGCGCTGCTCAACTGAAATTTCAAAAAGAAGTAAGATTAACGTGTATCACCAGACCATCCCTCTCTCCCCTGCAAAAAAGCTCTGAAATGTAGTACCCCCTTATCCGTAGGGGATATGTTCCAAGACCTCCAGTGGATGCCTGAAACCACAGCTAGTATCAATCCCTATATGTACTGTTTTTCAATCTGGTAACAGAGAAGGCTACTAAGTGACTATTGAGTGAGCTACATATACAGTGTGGATATGCTAGACAAAGGGATGGTTCACACCCTAGGCAGGATGGGTGGTACAGAGCTGGACACTGGGAGATTTCATCACACTATTCAGAATGGCACACAATTTAAAATTTATGAATTATTTCTGGAATTATCCATTTAATATTTTTGAAATGCAGTTGACTGCAGGTAACAGAAACCTCAGAAAGTAAAACCAGGGATAAAGGGTGACTACTCTATATTTGCAACTTGTGACAGGCTTCAGTCTAACAACATACACCCAAAAGACCAATAAATTTTTAGTAAAGATTCTACAGTATTTGAATCCTACTGGTTTTAAATTTTTTCATATTCTCTTAGAAATATTTCCATGTCCAACTATTAGTTAAAATAGGTAAATATGTACACACAAACAATACACAACGAAAACAACCTAAAATATACCCTGACATTCTCCTGTCTAAAATTCTCATCATCACGTCCTATCTTATGCAAAGATAGCATTTTTTAAAAAACATGTCATAATATCTATAATTTGCTTCAAAATAATCCAAAATATGGTGGGAGTGTGGAGGCAACAGAAGAGGGAGAGTAAATGGATATATAGAATGAAACAAGACTGTCTATGAGTTAATAATTATTGAAGTTGGTAAACCTCGGAAATGAATACAAGTAGGTTAATTATACTACTCTTTCTACTTTTAAATTTACATTAAAAAATATTAAAAATTCACTGCAATATCTATTAAAAATTACACCCTAATTATCCCTAGAAAAAAGACACACATATCCCAAAAACAAAATTTATCATATAGGTGCCATTCTAGACAGTATATTAAAAAGGAACCTTGGCCGGGCGTGGTGGCTCACGCCTGTAATCCTAGCTCTCTGGGAGGCCGAGGCGGGCGGATTGTTTGAGCTCAGGAGCTCGAAACCAGCCT